ACCGACCCAATCTAAGTTTTAAGTAGTATTTACAAATCTGTTAAAAGTGCATGTAGATTTTCTGTTGAAATGTCATCTTTGTTATCTTGTGCGCGTATAGGGGCTTGTTGTGTCAGAGTTTTTGCAGTAGTCTTTTAGCTTTAGCATCTTGGTTTGTTGATGGATATAGATGAGATGTAGTATGGAATCGCTACTGCAGCTCGAAGTCCTTTGTTCTTTTATGTTTATAGTGCTTTCCATATTTTTTGATCTGCTTTTAATAAAGCTGATGATCCATACGTTAAAAGAGGTCTTACTAAAGATTTTAATGTATTTGTCATTATTTTGGGATTCGTTTCCGGTGATGACCTCGACAGAAATCTGTAAAAGACTAATTCGTGATTGAGTGCGGTCTTTGATGTGTTTCACATGTTCATTTCAATTAACTTTCTGGTAAAAAATGACATCTAAATACCTTGCCGATGACTTCGACTTTATCACTATTGTTCCTACTAATACTTGGATTGATTGGGTCGGTATAATTTTTACGCGGATGTGGACTAAAATGCAGCATTTCCATTTTCGTGGGCTCCAAAGTTAGCTTCCACGAATTACAACAACGATAAAATGCGTCCATCGGGGTTTGCAGCCGTTTGTCGAGTCCTGAGGTGGTATTGCAAGCCGCTCAAAGTGATGTCTCGTCTGCAAATAATCTATACTGCGTGTGATCTGATATTGCCGTAAATTTGCTCATGTAAATTAATCAAATCATTCATACATGTGACGTTTTCAGCAGAAGTCATTTGCTCCAATAAACGTCACATGTCTCTGACAACTGAAATATGTAAAATGTAGCTTGGTATTTTCACGCATTGATAATTTTTTCGTTTATGTGATTCATTTAAATACCAATTATTAATATCCGTTCATAAAAAGAATGATCCTCAGCATTTTTTGAATAACTTGTTAACGGAAAGAGCTAGACGATGCGGTTTTCACTATTGGATAGGGAAGCTGATGGGAAGTGAACCTATGAAAAAATCAGGTCTCCGAATGAGATGTACCATGATAAATATTTTTCAAAACTATATTCGGAAGCTGTCTACTTTTAGAGAAAAAAGAGATTTTTTCTATCCTCTGAAGCGTGTTCTTTAAAACTGCACAAGTCCCATATCTCTATCTCTTTTGATTCCGGATTTCAAGTATTTTCATAATCAAGTTTATTAGTAACATTAGAAAAAATACAATACTTATATTAAAACAATAATCAGACAAATCGAATATATCATTTTATGCGCGGATCTATTCCACCTTACAAGAGAGAGCAAACTTACAGGAGAAGTACAGTAATAAAAGAAAGCCCTATTCGTGTGACACTGGTTAATCAATCAAAAGTAAATAGAACATCAAGTCGAGGATCTTTTGGAAGAACAAATGCAATCAAGAATGATAGTAAGAAATTAACTTACCTGAAATAAATCATCACTATTCAACATTCTAATGGCTGTATCACGCAATAAAATATATTCCAGTGTAATAGAACATTTTATAAACACTGATAGTTGCAGAAACAAGACCCGACGACTCTGGTACTTTGCATATTGCATACAAATTTTTCACCGTTTTCCTCTCTAAAGAACGTATAAAAATCGGAGTATTTAACGGAGGAAAATCGTTTCTACACCCACAAACTGGATTTCTAAAAATCGATCGTTAGCACACGAAAAGAATGTACATATTGCAACATTAATTG